AAAGATTCAATTTCAGTGAATTTTCATTTACTGATTTTATCTTTTACGAAGTCGACTCCCTTTAACTATACAAGAATATGCAGAGCTTAACATGTCTGGAAGTACAGGAGAACGTTCTTTTGCTGATATTATTACCAGTATTTGCTACTAGGTCATTCATAGCATTACTATACCTTCCCTATTCACTGCGGGTTGGTTATTTGTCAGCACGAGTTTAGCTCACGATGTATTTGGAAGCCCCCGTCCAAACGAGTATTTTACAGAAAGCCGACAAGGAATTCCATTAATAACTGGCCGTTTTGATCCTTTGGAACAACTCAACGAATTTAGTAGATCTTTTTAGGAGGTCCCAATGACTATAGATAGAACCTATCCAATTTTTCCAATTCGATGGTTAGTTGTTCCCTAACTAGCTGTACCTACCATTTCTTTTTTGGGGTCAATATCAGCAATGCAGTTCATCCAACAATAAACCTAATCCAAATCATAGAGCTACAACATAATCAAACCCAAACGAGCAAAATGTTGAATTAAATCATACTAGTCTCTATCGGGGGTTATTACTCATTTTTATACATGCTGTTTTATTTTCTAATTATTTCTTCAATTAATAAAAAAAAAGGAGAAGACTATTAAATAATAGTAGAAATTCTTGTATCCCATTTGGAATGATATCACCTCATAATTATCTATGATTGTTTATGTCTCTAGCATGACCACCTGATGAAATGTGGAGGAAAGTAGGACAAATGGTTGATACTATTAGAAGGATTCCTCTTTGGATAATAGGTATTATAACCGGTATTCTTGTGATCGAATTAATCGGTATTTTCTTTTATGGTTCATATTTTGGATTAGATTCATCCCTTTAGTAATCTGGTGAACAGGATTGTAGACACACCATGAAAGCATAAGAACTCAACAGAATCCCCCTCGAAGAACACAAAGAAAGAGGGGGTAGGTCTCGTTGAGCTCTTAATAATATATATAAGCTTATAATTTTATAAGTTTATGAATAAGTTCTATTTGTTCAATAAATGTTCCTATATTTTTGTTTGTCCACCATTACTACTTTATTTATGGAATAAATCTAAAACAGGGTTATGATAAACCTTGAAAAAAAAAATGGAAACTATGAATAGGAATCTTTCATGAACGGGATCAAGAATGATTATTATTTCGACACAAGAAAGGGTTGTGGAAAATTCCTTTTCTTGTGTCAAAGGCTAGGAAGACAAATAATCCCTCTTGAATAGAATGTTTTTTTTCCTCTCATTCATTTTTTTTATACTTTGGTTTATATTCTCCGCTTATTTATCTCATGTTTAGTATTTCATCAACTTTTATTCAATTCTATTAGATATTAGAATAGAAAACGATTGATTCATTATATGGTATTTAAATCTGACAATAATGACATAATTATACCGCTGCCATTTTATTTTGATTGAGAAAACAAAGAAATAAAGAAGAGCTAAGTAAAGTCAAATAATCTTCTTCACAACACACATACTATGACTAGAAATACGGCACAAGTAATTCCTAAAACCTGATAGAAAAAGAATATAAACGAGCAAAAGGCTTTTCAGAAATTTTTTTGATCATAGAGAATTACATAACACAATTTTCAACAAAAATTTGGTTTTTTTAAAACTTGATATTGATAAATTAGAAATTAATTTCGGACAATTGAACCTTCTCAAACTGTTTCTTTTTAAGAACCAAAAAGAATTGTGCCAAAATAATAGATGCTAAGAAGAGCAAAAGGCCTTGAACACGTAATAGATCTTGAAGTACTATTTCCACATCCCCCTGACTAAATCCACCTACATTTGGATTACTCGTTAATGGTTGATTTAGTTTGATGGATTCACCCTCTGAAACAAGAAGTTCTGGTCCTAGAGGGATAATATCAACCACTTGACGTCCATCCGATGCATTCACTATGGTTATTTTGTATCTCCTTTTTTTCTTTTCATAAGATTTTACTTCCTATACCCGCCGATGCAGCATTATAAACATTATTGCTACTCTTGCTCCCGTCGGGATAAATCTGACCCCTTCCCCTGTTCCGCCTATGTATGTGGAATATTTTAAGAAGTGAACGTCTTTCTTAGTAGCGGGTCCGGGGAAAGAATAGGAAAGGTGATTTCACTATATTTCTTTTACTAGGAACAAGACCTATCACAAGAATATTTTTTTTTCGTGGGGCGATAGCTCTGAAAAGACAGATTGCTTATCTTTGCTTTAATCTCGGGTGAAATACGATCGGAAGGGGCTAATTCAAACCCCTCAGGTAAAATAAGAATAGCTCCCACATTCAAGGCTCTTTTTTTCCATTAGCAAGAACTTATTTCACTTACAAATCATAAGGAATTCGAACAACTGCTTCAAATATAGTATCATGAAGTACCACTTGTGGAACCTCGATATCCATGGGCTTGTTAGCTAAATGGCAATTGGCACATACAATACGGCCAGTCGGTTCTCGTGGATTTTTATAACTCTACTGTGCAAAAATAGGATACGCATTTGAAATGGGTGCCCGAGTCATTATATATATTATGAGCGATACGACAATAAATTGAATAATCTCTTCCTTTATCCAAGAAACGGCATTTCTCATTTGCATGGTCCAATCATTGATCCCGATGATTTCTACAATAAAATTAGATAAGTCACTAGTATAGTTCCCTGTCTATGATTCTGTTATTTACTGAAATAATTTTACTCGAATATTGAAGGAATCCCTCGGGTGGGTAGAAAAAAGAAGTACAATTTTGACTGTTTTACTTATGTTACAAAGTAACAAACATTATAATTGGATCGATCAATCATTTTTCAATCATTCATTGAATGATAAATTACTACAAGTGGCAGAGATACACGATTTAAATAACGAAAAATTCAATATTTAAAAATTGTATCTAAAATGACTGGAAAAGTAGAAACAACACCGAATATAATTTGATTATTATGAGCAAATCCAAAATCTTTATAGATAGAGCCAATCATTAGTTCCCAACCATGGGGCGAATGGAATCCTATACATAAATTGGTTAATAAAAGAATAGGAAAAGCCTTTATTGTGTCGCTTAAATTATATAGAAATTCTTGAAGACAAGAGTTAAGAAAAATAAGTTGTTCATTACTTAGAATAGAAAAAACACATAGAATAATTATATTTGTTGAGAATTGTAAAATCGTATGGATACGACTCTCATTGTGCATCTTGATCCATTGGATCGTTTTATTGTATACTCCAACGTGAAGCTTTTGTAAATGCATTTTCGAGTATTCCTTTAGCATTTCGTCGAAGAGGGAGAGTTCCTCTAATTCTATGAATTTTTTTGGAATATTCTTTTCTTGAATATCGTTCAAAAGAATTTCGGAGGGCCTAGTATTCCACCAATTATTAACCCAAGATTCCAGAATTTTATTAAATGTAAATGAGAGAGAGATCCACCAAGGCAAAAATACTATAGATGTAAGATATAGAAGGGAAACAAATGCTTTCTTTTTTGTCATTTGCTCATGTGTGAATTCTGAAATGAACTCATCTCATTCGTCGACTCTATACGATACTAATATTTCTATCAAATATCAATTCTATGACATTACAAGTTATCAACGTATTCTCCGTTTTTATTTGTGATTTAGTACAATAGTTGGTCCTTGAATTTAGAATTTAGAAAAAATAGAGAAAATCAATATAGAAATTTAAAAATAGAATAAGAAGGATTCCACTTCAAATTGAATGGAGAAATAAATAAACTAAATATTACATATAATATTCTTCAAAATATATCAATTGCTCAAATTTGAAGCAATTGTCCCCTTTGGATGAATGCACGAAAGAACCATTTTAAATAATGAATATTATTCGAATTTCGAGACAAAAAAACTCCAGGTTTATTAAGATATTTAAAAAAAAAGACAAATTACCCTGCAAAAAACTAAGTACAGATCAAATTATCCAACAAAAAAAAAAAAGGTACAGATCAAATTAGAGTTGCACGAGGTACAAAAGAATATTTTTCTTCGAGTAAAATCAAAGCTAAGGACTATTATGAGAATATCGACCAGTAAAGTACATAATTAAGACAGGAGAAAAGTCGTTTAATTCTTAGTTATACTCTCCATGAAGTTTGGAATCATCTCGCACTTTGTTGTTGTTAGCGTTTTCCACTTCTCTATTTGGGGGATTCTGACACAAGCTTTTTGTTGATCTCCGAGGTTGGCACAAAACCACCATAATCTTTTGGGTAGTATTAATTGTGAGTACAATGAAAAAAAAATTCCTCATGATTGGCAAATGTTTTTTTGACAGTACAATAAATCAGAACGAAAATGCAGTTGAGGTTCTTTTGCACAAACAACATCGTCGAATATTCTGCGTGTATCATTGATTTCTTTAGATTTGGCTTTGAAGTAGTGAAATTACAACTGAATAAAGTTGAACTTGGAGAAATTGGATCAAATACAAACCGTGAGGACAGAGTCATAGTCGCTCTCCCCCGGATCCTTGATCGCAGCTAAACGAGCTCCGTACAGCGACAACATTTTCGTTCTGTCGAGATCAAGTTGAACATTTTTGTTATTTGGAGAAAAATGTCTAATCTTGTAAAGATGATTTACCCGTAAATATGGAGTAATTTAGGTGTCTCGTCTTAGACTGATACGTGAGTTATTAGTGTTCTGTTATTTGTTAACCTAAATTTCAGCCATCTTTAAAACGCTCTCCAGAAAAGCCGTCTCCACTTTTTATTTGTACCTCTTTGAAATCCATCTCCTATTGACGTCTTCATAACTTTAGTCCCTGATCTTTGAAAGCGAAAGGGTTTTGAGGCTTACGTTTCTTCTTTTTCTTCCTTCTGTTATTTGTTACTCAACTCCCTCACAGTTATGACAGTTGCTGCACCTCTGTGTACGGATGAGAAATAGAACCGAAAATGAAACGGCGTTCAGAAACGCGAAACGGTAGGGGTTAATGCATACGATAATTATTCAGATTTCTTTATTTGTCATTAATAAAGACCATGTGTGTGGTTACTATACAGAATTAAAATGTCAATCTACGGTTAAGCTTTGATCTATCTATGAAAAGCTCCATGCAGAGTTATTTTGTAGAATCTGGCTTTTCAACGTCCTCTGTGAACCAAGGAAATGAAGTCGAAAAGACTACAAGAAGAAGCAAGAAAATAAACTACTGCAAAAAGAGTCCATCCGATACACATTGTGCAGATAAGGAACTCATGTCAAGAAAGTTCTGGTTCTTGAATGTTTGTAGCTCGCCTGCGATTCAAAATAGGGCTCAAATATTCGACGCCATCATCAGATGATGAAATATTGGATGATACCGATGACTCGGGGATTGAGTTAGATAATGGATTTGATGGATGCGTTTGATGTCTGAATCCCTGGGAAACAGCAGAACCTGACTGTCCTGATGCTTGAGGCGTTGGATGTCCCTGAGCTTCTTCGGCAAGTCGTCTTAAAAGGTTCATAACAGTGGGAAAAAACCTTGACGAAATCGATAGTAGTCCAGCCAGCTGCTAACAAGCAAAAAAAAAAAAAAAACAAAAGGCTCAGTATTTGTTCGAACTCGCATGGTATGCATACTGCTAATGTGCATTTTTAAACGTAAAGCTAAAAACAGAATAAACAGAATTAAAATATGGTATATTCACCTATGACATTTCATAGTTTAATAAAAGTTTGATGGTTCAGAAATTAAATGCTGGTAGGTAAACTTTTCATACCCCAGATAAGAAATATTCTTCCATGAATGTTTATAAAGAAAGAAATATGAGATCATTGATCCTAAGTTTGGGAGGAGAAAATAATTGTAGACGTTAGATCAAAGACATTCATTTAAGCTCTGAAGAGAGAGGATCAATACATTAGGACCAACTATAGGAAAGATGGTCCCCAGTTAAAATAACTGCTTCGACATTGATGTAATTTCGTACACAAGGAGACATGTAAATTACACCAAATTTGATGTGTAATGTGTGAATTAAAAAAAAAAATCATTTTTCCTTTTTCCTGAGACAAATAGCTGTACTTGTACTCACAGTGCCATTACGAAACTCTCCAGCAATGTCCATCTGTATCCATAAGGCTTTCGAAAGCAAAAACACCACAAACAAAACCAAGAGGTATAAAGGATTCCTGTTTCATTCAAGCAATAAAGTCAATAGAAGGAAACACTTGAGAAGAAAGACGTTAAGAATAAGAATGTGCATATTATAATCAAATGCACAGAAGTCAAGTGTAAATGGACATAATTACTTCAAAAGGAGCATAAACTCATTAAAACCAAGAACAATCAATGCTACAATTGCCCATGGAGGAGGCAACCAGTTGTTACTCCGCTTGTACGCCTCCTGAAAATGAGGTTAAAAAAAAAGGTCATACAACAAAGCAATCATGAGTGACCTTTAATGAGCAACTGCAGTGAGGAAAGATCCAAATGACTAAAGGCTATATGCCAGAATTGAAATCCAGGAATTTTCTCAACACAAAAGCAAGATTGAAACAAATTTTCAAAGAGAAACTGAGAAACAAATATCATACCTACATAATCCAATACGGTACCTACGCAAAGTGGATCACAAGAGCATTATATGACAAGAATGGTACAAAACTTTACCTGCGCTGAAATAGCTTGTGTGACAGTGAACTGAGTCTCTGATTTGAACTGTCTCCACAGTGACTTGCACTGCACTGGTGTTATTAGGGTATCCTTGGGAGAAACCTAATTTGATTTATGTTATGAGATAAGAGGGTTCAATTATAAGAACTTTCTATAGAAAAAATAAGGATGCCCACTGAACAGTACCTCCTCCCAAGTGCTTGATGCAAGAGGATCAGTAGACGTTCCTATGTCCCTACTTTTTGTAGAAACAGTGACAGCTCCATCCATGAGGGAGGAAAAGAGTATTCTTTCAATTTTATCCGGCTTTTCATCCAAGCGAATTGCCGCCATAACCGATAAAAGCTTCAGAGACTGCAAGAGATTGCGAAGAGGAGACGCTCAAAAAGTTATTTTAGGCCAAACAACAGCTAACATGGCTCTTGATCCAGAAAGTACTTAGAAACTTACAGCAGAACGAGCTTCCTTTGTAATCGCTCTAATGTCTTCTTTCCCAGTCCAGACCCTTGGCATCGAATCATAGTCATGATTGAAGACTGTTGAGAACCTAAAAAAGAAAAAAGTTCCCAAAATTCTAGGTGTGTCCAAAAATTAAAATTAGCAGAAATGGATCACGTTTTTTTTTTTTTTTTTTTTTTTTTACCTATCTTTCATGCCGATCAAAACCTTTCCAGCTTCTTCCCTTGCCTTTTTCTCAACCACATTTCTTGCATAATCCCTTAGATTTTGTATCATTTTTATAATTGAATCTTGGTCCAACTCAAAACCAGCAATGACAGAAGAGAACTCTGATGCTGCAACTTCAGTCTCATGTTTAAGAAGTTTTCTAATTGAGGTCCAGGTATCCTTTCCACCAGTTTCAAATAGGGACTCAACTGGTTCAGATAAAGCTGCGGAAAGTTTCTTCTGCAAATCAAATTTGCATTAGCATTTATGCCAATTACATAATGCCTTCATTGAAATGGCGTTCTCAGTCTTATTTATGGTCACAACTTTGTCATGCCATGGAGAATAGTACCTCATAGTTTCCGATTAATTCTGACAACTTTGCACTACGAACAGATAATACATGAGCATCAATATCACGTTTAAGCTTTTCTCTTGCTTTTGAGGCATCCCAATTAGCTTGTTGTATTGCAGCATCTGCATGGAAGGCACAGAACACTTGATCAAGTCAAAGTATATATATAGGATTGCATACTGGTTAACTGTGGAGGAGAAAAAACAATTAATAAAATTGAAGATGCTAATCAGATCAATAGAATATAGCAGATGACATAAAGAATTGGATTTCCCACAAACGAATCAGTAACAGTAGGAAGGGAGAAGGGAAGCAACAAAATAAACACAAAATGCAGAATCAAAATTTTAGCCAAAAATGTAGCCCCCACCCACTCACACAGACAAATAAATAAATGAAGAGACCAAATAAGAGGAGAGAGAGGAAGATATTACATCATTCGTACAATCGTAGACCAATACCTAATGTCACTAAACAATATGGTAATGGTGTCTCTCTTTAAAAAACGTCACTAACCAAACAACATAAAGAAAGTCTTAACAGTGCCTAATATAGTCATAGAATGATTTACATTAATGACACCAAGGAATATAACTTGGGTTTCTGATAAGAAACAAACATTTAACAGGAAGTAAAATGGTACAAAGTAGACCAAACAGTTCTCAACATAAAGAAACGAAAACAAAAGAAAAACACGCCATCTAAAACACCATTCCGGTCTAATAGAAGAAAAATGAAATTGTCATTTGCGCATCCGCGCATGTAAACCATTAATAAGAAGTTAAAGTCAGATTCAGCAAAAAAGAAGATAAAGTCGGAAACCAAGCCAATAAAGAACAAGCTGAGAGCTTTCTAATGTGGCTCTACATGAACAGTTTAAAAGATAAGATTGATTAGCTGATGTAAATGATCATAAATAAAATATTATTACATAAGTTTCCAGAGACAGAATAAAAGCACTAGAAATTCCAATTACATGCAAGGCAGAACGGAAATACAATTGATTCCCAAACGTAGCAGGATTCCCTGTAACATAATCTCGATCTCATCTGACATTACCTGCACATCCTTGGTCAAACTCAAGCATGCAAGAGTGAGTGCAGTCATGAACAGCTGCAGCGAATCCTTCTCCTTCATTTAAGGAATGCTCCAGCCTACTTTTGAACTTTTCAAGTGCTTCAGACCGTAGATTTCCTATCATTGTAGTATATGCAGGGTACACGAACTGAGAAGTCCACAATGGATTAATAGTTAGAAGAAATAAAAGATATGAAAAATGAAAACAAGTATCTCTTTTGTCAGAAAGTTTAAGACCACTAACTGCATATGTTGGTACTTAAGAAATCATTAATTTTTTTTTCTCCCCTCTGCAATAGGAAGTTTACTTAGATTTGAACTAAAATGACTGTATATTGTATAATGCACTAATGCAGCACAAAAGACTGCGGTCTTACATCCAATAATTTTGACTGCAACTGCTGTCGTTTAGCATATCTCACACCTTCCTCAAAGTACGCTGACTCCATATCATATCTGTAAAAAATGAACTATCAGTGGAAAATTAAAGTGCCAAGTAGAGTGCCACATACACAAACTAGTCAGAACTTACGCAGAAAGATAGGCATCTAGTATTGAGCTCAGCTTCTTCCCAAAACCTGCAACAGAACCCGTATGTACAGCATTTTCCAATGCCAACCAACCCTAAATCATGTTCATTCACGTAAGGGTCAAATGTTTCAATCATTCCAGTGGTCTTTAAGGAAGCGAATATTGATGACTGAATACCTCATCAGAGGCCAATTGTTTGAATTTTTCACTGGCAATCTCTTCACAACGTACTGTGGCAACCATAACCTATTAAAAAATAGAGAAAACAAATATTATAAAAAAAAAGTAGGAGGAATCACATGCGCATAGACCACAGTTACATTTTAAAATGAAAAAATAAATTAGCCTCATTAACCTTGTGAGCAGGCAGATCAAGGTCCTTGTTTTCTTTTATAATTTTCCACATCTGCCGTGCACTAAAAGAAAAGCCTGAGGCAGGAACAACACCTTGTCTGTCACCAGCTAGCCCTCCTGGAGAAATGGAATGAAAAAAGCGCTGCCTCAGTTGAGCAACCTGCATATAGTATCAATGCAACGAGAAAGCCCGTAAACACCTCTGAAACTTTGAAGGCTGTAGAAACCTCTGAAAAAATAAAATAAAATAAAACTCTGGAAACTTCCTTACAATGTAAATACAGTTCCAAATAGATGAACGATTCCCATGAATGTCAAGCATATAAAAATTTGAGATTATAAACACATATCTAAATAGACAACACGATTCTTTAACGAGATGAATAGTCAATACAATACTACAACGTATTCTGGTCATCAAACTCTTGAAATAAAGGATAAGAACGACGACTAATACAAATTCTTGACTTTATAATTCAATTTTGATGGGGTACCTCCTCCTTAAAGTTCTCCTCCTTCTCTTCATAGCTAGACAGAGCAACGACATCCACCTTCAAGTTAAAAAAAAGGAGGAAAAAAAAAAGAAAAAGAGAGATCATGACATAATACAAGTTTATTTTATTATTGTTGATTTTTAGAAAACAGAAGATTGGCCAGAGATGGGACTAAAACAACAAGAAAATGGTCAGAGAGAGAACTTACATTGAAAAATTCACTCAAAGGAGTATTTTTGTGCTCCTCAGGCTTACGAACTGCATCCCATATCTACACAAATTGTAGTCTATAAGAAATGCTGAAGAAAGAGAGAAAAATTAAATCACCATAAAACTGAACATCAGAAACAAAAGGAAAAAATATTACCTTCTGGATATCTTCCCTTAAAAATGGCTCTAGAAGTTCAAGTGGAGTCTACAGGAAACCAGCAGTAGATAGAGAATTAATACAGAACATTTGCATACGTATGGTGTATTACAGTATATGTTCACCAAATACATACAGACCTTTGTTTTGTCACGTATAACAAACAGCAGTGTCGTTTTGCGGGGGCTGAATAAACGCATCATGACCTATCAACATACAGAAAATAGAAATCACAACTGCTCTGGAATTACATAGTAGCTTCAGATGAAAGCACAGTAGAGAATACCTGAAAAACTGTTTTAAGCAGAGGTTTGTTTGCAGCATGCTCCCGTCCAATATCGTGGCACCACCTGTATGTAAAGTTCAAACTCACATTAATAGTTTAATAATGAGAATCATCTGTATGCCCACGCAAAAACGTAAGTGTATAACATATCCATGAGTATGCACACCCGCGCGAGTGTAACGCACAATAAACCTGAGGAGGAAATCTGAACTAAAAGCTCAAAGTCTCCTCCATTTACGAAATGATCGCACTCAAGGAAACAATGAAACAGGATTATAAGCTTTTCAGAACCGTAAAAACTCTTTGGAGGTTTATCTTGTCAAACAAAAGTGGGATATACACAACAATCTAGAAATGGGTCCAGAAATGACAACTGAAATTTAAAAATAACAATAATAAGAAAAACTAACAACAAATTTCTCATGGAAATCACTTAGGAAAACAAATTCATTAAGGAAAACAAATTCATTACTCCACCAACTTCCCACTTTGCCATCAATTTAAAACCCTCTTAAGTACCAATATAAAAGAATTAACATTTCTATGACCCAGCAAAATGATACTTAGCAGCAAAAGGAAGAAGTCAGGTAAGCAAGATGGTCTCAAGCGGCCATGCAACTCTCAAACATGTAAGACACGTTAAAATGTTTCTCAGCCTTAGAAACCCAGAATCATAACCATGCTTCTGCCCAGCCTATAGAATCTATTTTCATATAGGTCGCTAAATTACCATGAAATGTGAGGAAAATTTTGTGAATAAGATATTAACAACGCCCACCACACACACGCATTAGCTAATATAGTCAATGAAGTTGAGATGTGGCCTGACATATCTCTAAAAGTCTCGATCATTTCTACAACTACTGGCTCTTCTTTTTCTTGCTTTCTTTTTGTTTTTTAATGCTTTCATCAAGAATTCTAAAATCAATGCATTAATGAGCACCCTAACTGAAGCAAAGAAAACCCCGCCTCAAACAAAGTGGATACCAAGTTACCATGAAGAACGAATCCAAAATAATGCTTAAGCTCAAACTTACATGTTTATAAGTACAATATCAGAAATTGCCAAAGCAAATAGGGCACTTTGTTTCTCAAATGTGGTATCATCCTGTAAGTGAATAGCATTCAAGAAAAAAGTATCAGCACTGTCAAAAATAATTTTGACCAAGAAGCCAAAAGCCCAATAAATGGAGAAGGGGAAGAAATTGAGAGGAGAATCAGTATTCAAATATAATTCACCAATACAACTTACATATATAAGTAATAAAGCATTCCAAAATTGTTAATACACCAATGATACAACAGGGGAAGTGCAAAAACCACCCAAGTATTTACACATACTCAATAGAAAAACGTAATACAATGTCTCTTCTTTTCTTAATAAGGAAGCAAACCATAATAAAGAGAGAAGATTTGAAAACAGGATCATAACAAGAGCACAAGCTGTCCTCGAAAGAGAAAAAGAAACACAACAAAAACCAGCAGCAACTAGACGCAATTCCAATGCCTAAAAATCAAAAAGAAAATACAGTTTCTTCTCATTGACTAGCAATTGGTGAGTGTAGATCATCTGCCCTTCACCCTTGATTCTGATTGATTATTGCACGTTACCATCGTTGTGATACTCTTTCAATGCGATATGCATCCCCCGTATCAATCAATATTTGTTCCACCGGAAATAGAAATTTTCATTGCCATATAAGCAGCATCTCAAAGATCATTCAGGCGTTCTATGCTGGTAAAAGTAAGCTCCAAAAACCATGCCCAAAATGTTATTTCGCTGAAAAGATTAATAAATTGTAACAGAAAATCGTTACCTCGCCTCTTTCC